ATTGCGAAATGATCTGTGAGAAAACTCATTACGCCGAGGTTGTACGTAGCAGCGTGTACAATCTTCTCACGTTGGTATGCGCTTTCGTAGACGAAGACAAGTTAAGCGTATTGAACGGTATCTTCGATGCCGTTGCTGCTACAATTCAGTTTCCTGAAACTGCCGCGCGATTTTGGGAAGAGCAGGACAACGGTTTATTTATGATTTACAAGTTCGCTGCTGAACAGTTTCCATACGATTTCGACCCATTAACGAACATTGCGATTGGGTTAGCAAGCGCCTCGCAATCGAGTGCCGAAAAAATTGCAATAGAGTTAGATAATCTGCAATCATTAACGTTGGAGGTACCGCGGCAACGGGATCACAATAAGCCGTACAGACCATACGAACAGGAATGTACGATTCACAGAAATTCCTACACAATATCCGAAGATTGTTTCCACGAAAATGTACGCATATTATCCAGCGATCGGGAAGTGGTGATATTTCGTCAAAGAGCGAGCTATTGGGATGCTTTGCATTATAAGATAGAGCAGCTGTTTTCTCAAGTAGGCGGAAGAACGACACATACGTATGAAATGAGTAAAAATTTGCCAGAGAACGTTTGCTTAGGTCTGAAATTATTAAAGACGCTAGCCAAATACGTTGGAATACGGCAGAGCATGGTGATACCAACTGAATTAAGTTTCGAAATCATCAACAGATTTTCCTATCCAGTATTACCCGAAGAAAAGATGTACATATATAAAATAGTAGCAGCATGCATTGGCATCTCGTCCGAACTCGTACTGGAGTATCCTGAAGAAATCTTGTCACGTATGCGTGCTGGTGTTTACCCAAGATTGAATAATCGATATCAAAAAGCCTTGAACTTTGCGGAAGCGGTCTCTTTCGACGGTGGTATAATCGCTTCTTGGTTGTCCGCTGTGGAAACGATCGCCCATTCTTATCCAATTTTGAACGCGTACTTGGACATCTTATCGAAATATTTAATCAGGAAATACAACGAGGAAGCTCTGTACGCGATTGAAATACCTGGAATGGTATTTTTGTTGCAGGGTGTTTTGCCAAAATTGGATAGCTGGTATTTCGAATCGGACGCAGAGAAAACCGACTTATGGTTGAAAAGCATGTTCTGTGTTCACAGAGCGCTCGAATCTAGTCTACCGAAGGAAGACATTAGAAACGAATTACAACTTGTGGTAGCGTATAGTCTACTGTATCTGGAACCAAGGCACGCGCTGCTCAAATTGATTCGTACCGGTGAACGTACTTTGCACAACAAGATGATGGCAGAGACAGATTGGATTCGCGGGAAAGGATTCAAAGCGATCAAAAGCGTACAATTGGCCTTGTCCGTGGTAAACAGATTGCTGATATTCCGGAAGTCATTGGGCCTGGTAATAGGAGATAGATCACCGTTGGAAGCTGCCTTGTACTCTTCGCCTCGGGTACCAAACGGTCTTTTGATAGTACCTACGATCGTTAATTATCTCTACGTTTGGTTCAGTCCACCTTTACAAGCGATGGCTGTGAGATTGTTGAAAAAATTTGCCGAAGGATCATCGATGTCCCTACTCGTTTGCATGGGCATGGATGGTACAGCTATACGAGAGACGTTCGCTTCTCGCAGAGGTCTCATGTCGCCGACTTGCGACGCTGAGGTGAAGGTAGCTATTCTCGAGCTGGTTGCTGTATGTTTAGAAAAACAACCTGGACTAACAGAAGCTCTCTTCAACATCGTGCATCCGGCAGAATGCAAACGAATCTTTCCTCGATCGGTAGAAGAATTTTTTACAGAAGGGTGCAGGCAGTTTCTGGTTAAGTATCTGCAGCGAATTTATGAGAAGGAAAATATCGTCTGCGACAAGTTGTACAATAGTACAATGGCGTTGTTACGAGCGATGTGGTATCACAGAAACGAGATTCTCGTGAATTTCTTTCGAAAACGAGAAAACTTTTGGACTCACCTTTTCGCGCCTCTTTTCAGAGACTTGGTACCAGGCGCGAAAGGCTATTCCCATCTGCTGGACATAATCACTTTAGAGCTGTTCAAGAGTACCACGTTGGAAGAGGATTTCTCAAATAATCTGAAGAAACTATTGGACAAATCAAAAGATTACTGGAAAAAATTGGCGATTTACATACTCGACGATGCGCACACAGACACGGAAGAATTAAACAGTTACGAGAAACAAGACACGACTCACGTAGATTCGCTGTACGAAACTAATTTGGAATCCTGGTACAATTTCATCGTCACGCTAACGGATGAGAGAATAGCTTCGAGTTACCCGATCAACGTGACCCAAGCACAGTTAATAACCCAACGTTCCTTAGAATCGTTGTTAGAACGAATCAAACAGTCTCAAGACGTCTCCAGTCGAAAAGTCACAATGTTGTTAGCTTCGTTGTCTCTACGGTGCATCACCTCCTGGAAACAAATGTGCGTGGACGACTCGAGAATCTTTAAAACGGGTCTAACGCAGCTGATGCAGGAAATCGGGCAAGCTTATCGCAGTTACGGTAAATCATTGCGTCAGACACTGATCTCTTTGCTCCTCGGTTGCGTGCAGTGCGTGAAAAGCACCCTGCGCGAAGACGCGACCAGCCTCGAGTATCTTTTGGCACACGCCTGTACGATCGCTGCCAGCGAACTGGAGGAACTGAAAGAGGCCGCAACCTTGTTAGAGAAACGAATACACGAAAAGGTGGAGCGAAGGACGGACGATAAAGGAACAGTGAGCAGCGTGAAGGTACAGAAGAACGTCGACGAAAGAAACGCGGAAACTATTCGCGGCATTCGGGAAAGTTTACCAGCTACCCTGGCTGTTTGCATGGTCACGCAACTGTTGCGCTCCTACGTCGAACGAAACGCGCTTTCCAAGTATCAACGAAAGTCCAGCTGCGTGCAACTTCGACAAATGATACCGGAACTGATGGCCTGCATCGGTATCACTTTGCAGAAATATCCGTACTTGAGGTTCAGCAGCGCGGCGCTCGACCTGCTTAACTTAATCGTACGTTCTCCCTATACTTTGCATCCAATCAACGAAAACGACATTGCTAAATTGTGGTTGAGTTTAATTCCACCCGGCGAGCTTGAGAACAGCATGTTAGACTCTTTATACGACGATTGTCCGAACGGCAAATGGCGATGCCAAGATTGGTGGCCACTTTACACGCTCGGCCTCGAGTTCCTAATAGGACTGGTCACCAGAGACATGCCATCGGTTTACATCAAATCGATCGTGATGTTCCTGAACTCTCACGAGCAACAGCTGATGGTGGCGTCGACCCTGTTGAGGCATACCGCGGACCTCTTAGCAGCCGACCTAGTTCAGTCTCTCGTCGCTCTCATCCACATAATGGCGACCCAACCGTACGTTTGGAACTCGATACAGACAAACGTTTGCGAAACTCTGATCAAATGCATGTACCTGGCGTACGACAACACCGTGAACCTGTTGCTGAGACCGCGGATCCTCAAGTTCATCATCGACGGGATCAGCGTGGAGAGCGCGGAAGAGTTGGAGTCTTGCGATAAACGATCCCCGAGCGGGGAATTGAAGTTACTGGTCAACAAATTGATCGTGATAAACACCACCTGCGCCCTGAGTTTCGTCCACTTCTCTCCTCGATTGAACACCCTCGTGGACACTATATATACTCAAGACTTTTGGTACACTCCTATGGCGGAGATGTACTTTGGACCACCTCAGATGAGCATGAGTTCCGGCCCGCGGTTAACCTATGGCACTATAATCAGTTCAACGCAGCTGTTCACGCAAGCTCTTCATTCTAGATCGCAGTCTGTAAGCTCGTCTTCAGTTTCTTTTATGGGGCATCCGGATAAAACGGATTCCGCTAAGAAAGAGTGGGAACACGCGACCCCGGAGGATCGACGAATGCATACGAGCAAAGATTTAAGAAGGATCATCCACGCGGCTTCCGGCTCCAACTCCAGATCGTCCGCCAGCGTTGGAGGAGAATTTTTAGTGTACGTTAGCGGGCTGGACGTAACAGTGCCGTTGCTAAGCAGTCCAAGACTGGTACGCAGACCTTACGATCCTCTTATCTGCGAAAATACTATTCTATCGCGTGCAACAGCCTTGGCCAGTGGTAGACACGTGGCAAAAGGAGGCAGCGGAATGGTCACAGGGAGCAGCGACAGCCCTATCATGACCAAGTATCAAAAATTCAGCGATCCTTGGTTCGAATCTATGGACGAGAATAATACTAGACTGGCTCTCGAAATTAATCTCGTGTTGATATTGTGTCAGGCTCTAGAAGGTGTCAGGAGTCCAAGAATCGCTCTCAGAGATCGGCAATTGATCGCGCGCGAAACGGTCACGGAATTAGGAGTTTTCTTCGATTTTCTCGAACATCGAGGCACCCCCGATGACTGGCAAGTTAAAGGGTCACTGATCAACGCGGACTCTAGAAACGTGAGAACTATTCAGTGCGTTGACTCGAACCAAGCTATTTTACCCGCGAGATTGATAGAAACAGCGAGGAAAGATTTGGAAGAGAATATTCTTACCACCGGGATGTTTACTACTAACATTAGTAGCATACAATTTTTGCCTTTGATGGGGAAATTACTTAAAGCTGTAATGGAATCCTTGGATTTAACACAGTTTCGGTAACGACAAACGTATTCGCGATCGCGTACGCTTTAAATTAATTAAACGAAAAAACAAAATAGTTTGATAACTTTCAAAGGAAAAAAAAAAAGGTTTATAATTATTTTATGTTTATGATGTAAGTCAATAAAGTAACAATTTTTGTATTCTTCTATTTTCAAATAATGCACAAAATCGAGGATAAAGAGATGTAGGTGAATGAAAAACGAACGAGGAAATTTTATCGAATTTCATTTAATTTAACCATCTTAAACGATTACCGAGATCTCATACGTTGTCAGATTCATGGATCTTAGTTTTGTACAATTAGTACCGGTGATCAGACACGTGTACAGAACAACATTACGATTATCCTTCTTTTTTTTTAATTTGCGCCCGGCGCTACAATTCTGTAATTCAATTTATCGTTCGCTCACTTTGATAACACTTAATTATTTATAGATCTGGAAATGTGAATCGTTTTGACGATTTAAAATCATTTCTTTATAAATCTGTTCTACAGGAATGATAGAAACGATCGGAAAGTAGAAAGCAGAGTGTGGAGAAAAAGCTCTAGTAATTTACGTTCACGTGCCACTTGCTACTCAACTGATTTCTCTTCCGATTAACGTATCTTAATATATAAATTTTTTCGGTCTCGCGGATAACGTTTCATTACGCTTGGATGTAATCGATAGTCGTATTACGATACAGTATAAAAATATAATCCGTGATATTAACGAATATTATATGTTATCGACGATAGCGTTGACGCGAGTGCTGAACGAAGCGCGTCACGTAAAAAGACATTCGACGCCTTCCAGGCTAAGAACCCGAAGGTCGCGTTCGACGCTAAGGGGGCAAATGAGGTAAAATATTCTCCGGTGACGGTGAATCGTGCGAATCGTTGCCCCTAGACGCCACACGCGAATGATACAAGTTATTCGAGGAAACGGGAGTTACAATGGAACTGGTCGTTACCGTACTTGTAATTCCAACGGCTGTGACCATTGGAACGGTACTGGTCGTAGTATTGATAGTGACCGTCGTTACGATGCAGGTCGTCGACTGACTTCGAGACGTCAAATTCGGCCACGCGTGCGGATTAGCGTAATTAGTGTCGGACGGTGAACAATCGGAATGACGAGCTGCCGTTGTGCAATACACTGTGGTTGGCAATGTGGTTGAAACCGAGGCTGCTGATGATACAGTTACAGCGGTCGGGGCCGGCGGTGGTGGAGGTGGAGGCGGAGGAGGCGGTGGCGCTGCAGTTGGTCCATTAAGATCTGCCAAAGGATCAACTGCAGTACCATCCCATGGTTCCGTTGATTTTGGTTCATCGGTATTCGCTGCGCTAGCGGTTGACCTTTGTCGTTTCGCATCCCCATACAATAAGCAATGTACATTCGGTGAACTGCTACGATCACGCACACCTTCCTGCTCCTCCAGGAATCGGTCCATATAGTCCCTGCTTACGATTCAATGATCTTGTCATACTTCAAGTTTCCAATCGTAATAATAAGAAACGTAAACAAGAAGTTATGTTACTTGAACGAAGAAATCTAATCATTTGGATCACAAAGAGAAGCAAATTCAGTATTTACTGCAACAGAAAGTTGTTCGCTTGCGAATAGAGAAAATACTCACGTGATACCAGGGTGCAAAGCATATTTTTTCTTTTCTAAACGAGCTTTGTACGTGAATATGTCGTGGCGTTCCGTTTTCTTCCACAAATAATAAAATTGCACCAATTCACCGACTGATCGCGTTCTCACCTGTGACAAAATTAATTTATATCGTTTACTATTTTTTCGTTCTTTCCCAAAGTTATTTATGTAGATTCTATCTTGTATACCTTGTTCTTCTGTATAAGGTGAAAATCCTTCCCGTAAGTTCGTAATCCAGATTCAAAGTTGTGACATTCTTCTTCGGACCAAAGACTAACCGCGTCTGTTGGCGGTACAACGTTCATCCTACGTCTTCTTAAAGCCTCTTCTAGATTGTAACCACATTGCAATAGTAAATATAAAGCTTGTTCATCGTCTCTGATATGAGATCCTGCAGGCAAGGAACCACCTTGGACCGCCGGTAGTTGTGCCCGTTCTAAGAATTCTTCCGTTTCTTCTTCAGGTATATGACTCGGATCCCATAACATTTTATCCTCGTTTTCATAGGGTAAAGCATCGTCGTAACGACAGAGACCTTCCGGTATAGGTGCTTGGTAATCACTACCAACCATGATTGTCTTTTTCCATTCTTCCTCGTCTGGACTGTAGTCGCAGTCATCTTCTTCTTCCTCGCTCTGCGGTCGTGAAACGCTTCGTAATAATCTCGATGTGCCACTGCCTATGGCACCACTAACTATCCCATCCTCTCCACCGTCAACTGTGCCACTACCGATACTACCCTCTACTCCACCAACTGTATTATCATTTGTACAACCAGCAAGCGCAGTTATACCACTACACTTGGCGGCACTAGTACCTCCTATCGTCGGTGCTGTCCTTGTATTTTCGTTATTACTACAACCATCGATCATGGAACATTCCTCGGCTTCCCCTTCTTCGTCGTCGTCATCGTCATCTTGAATTCGATGTCGTCTACCGCTATCTCCGGTACCTACAGTACCGGCGTTGCTCCCTTTCATCGTTGATCCCGTCGAATCTTTTCCTTTTTCCAACATTTCTGTATAAAATTGTTTAAGGTCTGGCTCGTTACTAGCCGTATCTGCTTCGTCGTCATCGTCATCATCATCCGCATCGTTGTCACCTTTATCCGAATATTGCCCTTCGACTTCTGGATCACCGCTTCCGGATGGGATCAACAATCGATCGGAACTGTTTGAATTTTCAGTCGACGGATCCCCGTATCCATACATCGCAAGTAGATCTTTTAGTGGCATATCACCTTCCTGAAAGAAGACGAAAAAACAAATGATCACCATGCCACGTATAACAAACAGACTAAACATACGAATCTCACTACGAGAACGCACTTTGAGTCCAAAGTGTTGTAGAAACTTATCATAATTGTAATTATTTATGGGCTTGATTTTTTCATTTCACAGGCTTGATCCTAGAATAGTTGGGATCAGAATCTTGTTACAAAGTGAACATTATACATGTTAAATATTTTACACAGACACCTCAGAATTATACCTTTTGCAAGTCGGACAACTCGTTGTGAGAATCTTCACTACCTTCTAAAGCTTCTTCTTCGTCTAACGTCCGTTCATCATCAAAATCATTTACCATCATTTCAGTAGCTGGACCCATATCATAATCTCGATCTGCCCTGTAAAATGTTTAAAGCTTAAAACTCTGTTTCTTTTTCAGTTTTATAAACAATCATTGCAAAAAGATTAATGGCTAATAATCAACTCATGTTTACTAACATGTTTATATCTCTTGCAGTAACCAAAGCAGAAACATGTCACGTAGATACTATAGAAGGATGTACTAGTGATCGATGCACAGTTACAATTTTGAAGAAGTGTCCTCAAGCAACCTGCATTGTAGATCTTTTTTAATCTTACTGATTTAATTGAACGCTTCTATTATTTAGACAAAGTAACGTATTAAAAGAACATAACGTGTATTTTATGACGCGTACCTAACCTTAAGATCTGATGACATTCATGTTGATTTTATGTTTACAACAATAAGTCATTTTAACAGTACAAATTATGTGTGTCTTAAAGTCTTGTTACTGACGCTCCATGCTGCAATGAACTTCACTTCACTGCACTGGAAATTTGATTTCAATTGTAGATCTTCAGAAAAATTAGTAAATTTGTCAGCACAAGAATTTCATGATATATCTAACATTTTTCTAAGGCACAATTTTAATCAATGACAAAACTATTTCAATCGCATCAACCCAAGTCGTTCAGAATTGCTACAGACTTTAAGCAAATAAATTGAAAAATGCACAGTATATTATTTATATTCGTCAAATGTATCATTTCACTTCTGTAACATCTTAAAAAGCGGGAAAATCATGATACCCGTTGTAGCGACCAATCATGAACACTTGAAGCTGCAGAGGATGCATTTTACCATTGGTTAAAAAACATAATCTCCTAAATAAATTTTATTGCAAACGCCCCCCCATTCGTATCGAATTTTAAAGCAATTTTTAATATTATTAAATAATATAAGTACATTGTATAATATGAATGTAATAAAACATGTATGTGTGTACAGCGTCGAGCAAAGTAGACTTCCCTAGCAAAAATGCAACAGTTGATCGTACAGTATTCAACAGTATTGTCGTTTATAGAGGAAATACATTATGTTCTCCTGTGTATTAAAGAACAATTGCTTTAAAAAGGAGCTGGTAAATATTTCAAAAGTGCAATTAATATTAAGAGTTTCAAGGTAAATAAAATGTTTATGATAAAGTATTTTGCAGTCAAATATGTAAATAATATTGTTCATTACAGAAGCACTTCCACACAAAAGTATGATGTTGATGACTACCAGTTTCTTGAAAGGAGTCAAACTCCTACAATGCATTTTCAATCATCTCTGCCACGTTTATCAATTCCTAAACTAGAGGATACATGCAGAAGATATTTAAATGCTCAAAGACCATTATTATCAAATGAAGAATTGAAAAAAACTGCAATTTATGTTGATGAATTTCTTACTAAAGATGGAATTAGATTACACAAAGAACTTCTTAAGGTAGATGCTGAAAATTCTCATACTAGCTATATTAGTGAACCTTGGTTTGATATGTATCTACGAGATCGTAAATCTTTACCTATTAATTATAATCCTTTTTTGGTACTTGAACCAATGTGCAATCCAAAATATAATACACAATTAGTGAAAACAACAAATCTTGTTATATCATCATTAAGATTTATGAAATCATTAAAAGAAGATGTGTTAAGGCCAGAGGTATTCTATATGAATCCTGAAACATCTAACAGTAAACTATATCATACTATTACAAGACTGTTACCATCCCAGTATAATTGTTATGGAGCCTACTTGTTCAAGGTGAGAATTACTGTCTGATAGAATCCAATCTAGCCATTGATTTCATGTCTTCAGAAGTAAAAAACTGTTATTTTAGGCTTTTCCATTAGATATGTCACAGTATCACAATTTGTTTAATACCACAAGATTACCAAAAACAACAAAAGATGAAATTTATCAAGATATATCTGGAAAACACATAATTGTAATGAGAAAAGGACATTTCTACTCTTTTGATGTAATGGATGAAAATGGATACATTTATGAACCAAAAACAATAGCAAATAGCTTGAAATCTATTTTGGAAGATAATATAACAAGCAATGAAACTCCCATTGGAATACTTACAACAGCAGAACGAAATTTATGGGCTGATACAAGAGCACACTTGTTACAAATTGGTAATCAAGAAACATTACAAAAAATAGATTCTGCTGTATTCATGATGATATTGGATGATACCTGTATTGGCAGTGATTACAATAAACTAATTGAAACATATCTCCATGCTGATGGAACAAACAGGTGGTTTGATAAATCATTTTCTCTAATTGTTACACAGGATGGGTATGCTGGAATAAATTTTGAGCATTCATGGGGGGATGGAGTAGCTGTATTAAGATTTCTTAAGGTAAATGATATAAAAATGTGACTTGAAAAATTTGATACTACATCATATTTTTTTTTTAGGATGTAAATAATGACATGACTAAACGACCAAACTTCCATCCTGATGATATTAATTACCTTAAAAACGGGACAACAGACGTTAAAAGACTTGAATTTGTTATTGACAATAAAATACAAAATATTGTTAATACAGAGAAAACAAAATTTGAGAAATGGACGAAAGACCTAAGTATTGATCATATGATATTCAATGAATTTGGTAAAACTCAATGTAAACAATTTGGCGTGAGCCCTGATGCAATTATGCAATTAGCTTTTCAATTAGCTTTATATTATCAAAAGAATTGTGCAGTTCCTACATATGAATCTTGTAGTACAGCTGCATTTAAACATGGTCGAACAGAAACTCTAAGGCCTTGTACAGTGGAAACAAAAGCAATATGTGAAGCCATAGTTAAAAAGAATAACAATTTGTCTATGTCTGAACTAAAAGGGTTAATAATGAATTGTAGCAAAGTACACAATCAATTAGCTAAAGAAGCTGTTATGGGTAAAAAAAACTATTTTTTCTGAATGAGATAAAATGATATATTTTCGTATGTTCTTTACTTTCTTTTTCGACAGGACAAGGATTTGATAGACATTTATTTGCATTAAAAAAAATTTGGGAGCGCTCAAATACTTTGAAACCAACTATTTTTGAAGATCCAGCATATGAAAATATAAATCATAATATTTTATCTACATCTACCCTATCGGATCCAGCTATATGTGCTGGAGGATTTGGACCAGTAGTAAATAATGGATACGGAATCGGGTAAAGTACAATTTTTCTTTATTATTTTTACAAATACATTGTATACTATTTACTACTGTATGGAATAATCGTCGAATAATCTGTCCATATCTACCGATTTGATGTTTAGATACATGATTCAAGATGAAAGACTGGGAGCTGTTGTGACAAGTTATAAAAGTAATTGTAACGCGACCGAATACGTAAGTTGTTTGAACGAGGCATTTAAAAGTATTCATCAAGTGATACTGCAAGGTAAATGACACTGCCATATGTGTCTATTGAATATACGTTATACGTTTACAAGAATCTCTAATATTGTTGATCACATGCATAATCATGAATTTTTATACAATGTTAATTCAGAGAATTTTTTTATTGTCAAAGGAATAAAGAACTATTCTTTTATTCTGTACTGTAAGGTGAATTCAATCAATAAATAACATTATATATATTTTACATATATGTGCAATATATGTGAGTAAATGTAATACAATATCATATTCATTAATGTAACATTTCATTTTTAAAAAAAAGGAAAAGAAAATTATTTATGTACAGTAGATGCATTCGAACTAGAGCGCTATAACGCACTCGAAATACCATAAACAAGAGACTGTATTACAGCAATTAATTTTATATCACTAAAAATAGTTATTTATGCACATGGTTGATACACAGAGATCCTTAATCGAAAGTTAATAGGTCAACAATCACTAAATATGGAATGGAATGGTGTGATTCCAAAAAAAATATGGTTGTTTATGGTGTTATGTTTTATCCTAAATTTACACTTTATTTCCCATCTTTACTTTGGATGTCTATGAACAGAAGAAAATTTATTAGTATTTTAAGATACAAGGTAACTTTCTTGAACAACTTACCATATAAATCCCAACAATTAATCCAAAAAGTCCAATTGCAGATCCAAAGATTTCAATTATAAGAATCTTAACAAAAAGAGCAGAATTGGCTGCATCAGAAAGAGCAGCTCCAGAACCAACAATCCCAACAGCTATACCACAAAACAGATTGACAAGACCAACAGCCAGGCCAGCTCCAAACATTAAATATCCAGCTAACCAATTCTGATTGCGAATCTCTGGCTTTATGAAAGCTTCTTCATAAGTAAATGAATCTAACATTCCAGATAATACAATTGCTGTGATCAAACCATAGATAGCTACAGCTTCACAAAATATTACAGATATCAAATTTTTTGTCTTGATTCTTGGAGCTTTTACACCACCTCCAACTATTGAAACTCCTGTTGTATGAATTCCTCTGCAATATTTTGAATACATTATTTATTTAGTTTTTCTACACATATAAAAGTTATAGTTTTATTTATAAAAAATTAATACTTACAGTGCAGCACCAACTACAGAAAGAGCAACTGCAAGTCCAATGCCAAGCGTTGCCCACATATATGGAGAAGTATTTTCTAAAAACCTATTGCATGTTTTTTACAATAATGGACTTCTATGCGTATAAACATTTATAATCATGATTTTTAGATAAACAAACGATAAAATTTTCGTACTCACCATCCAATACTTATACGTTCTCCTTTTCCAGTTAATACATGATATAATACTGTAACAAAATATTTGAAAATTTTCAAAACTATTCGATGTTTGATTTTTCCAAAAAGGGAATAAATAAAAATCGATTAATACCTAATACGATAATAGTTACGGAAGCAGTGCCCGCAAAAGCGTTGCCCAAAATGTATCTCATGTTGCTTTTAGTTTCGTCTTTACGTATCTTAAAACAAATAAAGATACAAAGACCTTAACAAATGGTTAACTATGATTTTAAAACATAAGCTAAAGATAAATTTTTATAACTTCTTTACATGAGAACATTCTACGTACAAATCAGGGAAAAATCACTCACGCCCGTCTTTATCATGTGACGTCTAGCACTCCTGATGCTTACATACGCTAGTGACATCAACCGTAAAAAAGTAGTATTAACAATGAGGTTTAAAAAATTTTAATTTACAGCAGAGTATTGCAAAGGATACAATAGAATGTAAGTGTAATTTCCATTCTTAATTGCCTATAAATGTTCATACATATTTAAATAACTCAATTGCATTAATTATATTGACCGTATAGGAATTATAAGATATCATATGTTCAACTTAACATATTTTTCCACGTTAATTTTGCAGATCAATTCTTCAATCAAATTTATCAAATCAGAGGGCCTTTGAAGATTTAATAGTCCAGGGTTTCAGAAATCTTAATCCGAAAAATAATAATAAAATTACCCTTTGGTTTTGAAAAATTGTCTAATTAACTATTGCATTGGTAAGTAATTATCGCTATACAAATTTTTAATGTCAATATTATAAAACACAATATTATTTTGTTATTTTTTATACTCGCTAGATTTAAAATACAGTACACGCGACAAACATGTCTCGTAGTAAAATCTAACATCTAATTTTAGAATTCGTCACAGTTCATTCGTCTTGTCTCTTGTATCAACGACAAAGTGCGAGTGCTAATGTAATGGTTTTGTATCGTTAAAAAATTCCTCAGTCTTTTACTAAATTATGTCTGTTACCGAAGGGTGAGTAATAATATTGTTCAAGTTTATGAAAGTAATGAAATTGTTGAAATTGTAACACGAAGTAGATTATTAAACAAGATCTTCAAAGTATACAAACATTCTTTAAATAAAATTGTAGGTACTACTATGCTGTTCTGTTCAAATGAATAACTGATCCTTAGACTATTTCAGTCTTTGATTAAATTGTACAGATAAATTTAGAGATCTAAATTAAAGTTTGTCGAGTGTGCTGAAGTTATGCGACAACCACTTAAATTTCGTTTCCGTTTCTTGTGCAATCGAATCATGCATGTTTAAATTTTTCGCAGGTACATAAAATTTGGCGAATTTTTTAAGTCCGTTTACGATGCTGCGATTACAGAACCATATGCAAGTCGTTTCAAAGAGGCATCTACAAATGCAGATAGAGAAGGAATGATAAAGATTCTTATAGATATACCGTGCGTAAAAAGTTTAAAAATTATCGAATCATACAAGGGTAAGGACGATGTTAAGGCAACAAAATTGTACGATAAAAGTCGTGAAACGATTATTAAGGATGGAGTTGTGCACGAAGAAGAAAATAGAATTAGTATCCTTACCGAAACGCTGTTTACAGCCAGTGTATCTAGTAGATTATTCCTGGACGCGCTTTTAGATTGCGCGCAATATTGGTATCATTCGAATGCTTTTTTAAAATGCTTAAAATACTGTGAATGCATGCTTGCTCTTCCTGCAAATTTTTACGATAGAACCATCGAGAGTATGAACGATTTTTTGGAGCGTAGAAAAGCATGCACCCATTTAGAACGCGAATGCTCCAAAAAGTTGAAAGTGTTGCCTTCTCAGGGCAAGAAACAGCGTAGGAAATTCAACGCGAATCAATGCGTTTCTTTGGAGAACGCATCATTAGTAAACCATCTGACGATACCCTCCATTGATGGAAAAAAGCATGCTATTCTTGAAAGTTGTTCAGATGCTGTGGCTTTACAATTTGATGAGAAACGTGGCCGACATCTCGTAGCTACCAGAAATATTAAAGCAGGGTGTGTTCTTATAGTGGAATCACCGTTTGCTTTCAGCACAAACAACGAGGCACTCGAACGAAATTGCTTACATTGTCATGTCACCCTCGAGATGAATGACAGTGTTAAAATTCCTTGCCACTTTTGTCAAGCAGTTAGTAAAACGAATAATTTTCTTATACCTTTCTTTCATTTTGTATCCATATTTATATTTATTTTTGTTCTGTGTACCTTTAGTTAACAAATTCTTTGTGTCTTACTTTTAAGTAACGTCTGTGATTCTACAGGTGTCCTTTTGTTCAGAAAAATGTCGCAACGAAGCATGGAGAATGTATCATCGATACGAGTGTTCCATATTCGACGCCTTTTATGACAACGATTCTGAACAATCACAACGACAGTCTTCGCACCTGCTTTTAGCTTATAGAATGACAATCGCAGGAGCCTTGTCTTCAAATGCTGAAGAAGTTGAAAACGATACGGATAAAAATGAAATTCCATATCTGAATGATAACTTTCTTCGGTATCACAGTACAAATACGAATCAAGAATGCAGCAATTTAGGAACAAACGAAATTTATAATCCTCGTGATTATCGTACCATATTAAAATTAGAAACTCATTGCGAAAGGATAGAAGCTAGCATAAATCTGATTCGTGCTATCGAAGCAATATTTTTAGCAAAGTGTCTTACATTTATCTTGAGTAAAATGGACGTTGTTTGCTTAAAAGAAACCTTTATCACCTTAGCAGTAGCAACGTTGCATCATTTACAGGCTATCAATTGCAATGCTTACGAGATCGTAGAAAACTTGTATGACAAGAAAACGCATGTTTGGGAACCGAGACTCGTAGGTGGAGCAATTTATCCTTCTGTTAGCCTGGTAAATCATAGCTGTTATCCAAATGTCGTTCGTCATTCTTATCCATCAGGTAATAAGTGCATTCGTCTAAACAATTATTTACGTTCCGCATACTTTGAGGAAATAAACTTAGATTATTTTCCACAGGAATAGTAGTGGTAAGAAGTATACGCTTTATCGGTAAGGGAACCGAAATCGTTGATTGTTACGGACCACACTGTCTTAGCGAGGGAAGATTATCAAGACGCGAGTACTTGTGGAAAAAGTATCGTTTTCTGTGTGCATGTGAAGCTTGTACACAAAATTGGCAATACCCGTTACCTGAAACAATAAATTATAAATGCAGGGCATGCTTAGAACCTATTAATATATTCGTTTCAAATGAAAAAGATGCACAAAATGTATCGATTAAGAAATGCCACAAATGTAATGAGAAAATCGATTGTAAGAAGATAAAAAATCAATTTCGAAAATCAGTTGAGAAAAGATTAAACGCTGTGTCTAAAATGTACGAAGGCCATTATGAACAGGCTCTACCTCAATTGTTTGAGCACATACAGTTTATTGAAAAGTTCTTTGCTGCACCCAACATTGAAACTATCAAAACACAACAATGTATCATTCAATGTTACAATCAGTTTGGCTGCATATCTCAATAACAATAACTCAACAAAAGTGTTGAAATGTGTACACATTTATAATTACACGTATGGTATAGATGTGTACACACATATATATATATATATATACTTATAATGTATATGAATGTGGGTGTGTACAATATACACATGTGCGTACACGCACGTATATACATACAGATGGCTTAAAATTCGTATCACAAGTACTAAAAAACAAAAACCTTTATGTTTTGTATCGAATACCTTAATTTTTTCAATTTTTTTTCACGCAGTGCAAAATGTTATAAAAAATGACAAACTGCTCTGCATTCATGGTGGTTTACTTCTTGTTTCGACACTTCACAATTACTTTTCAACTAGGCTGGACATTCATTTAAATTTGATAAGGCTTTTGATGTAGAACTGTGGCATGAGCACCGTCGTTACTAGTAGTAATACTTCGATTGCTCAATATCGATAATTACTATTAAATGCACGTGTTATGATAATCGTGTTCTTTTATACTCATAAACTGAAACTAAAAGATCTTAGATCTTGAAAACACTGCTTGCATAAAAAATATAAACTACACAAAGTAGCTTGACATACACGTGATTCCAGTAGACAGTTTAGCTACTAAATCACCAAAATGTCTAAATTGAACTAGAAACTGATGACGTGAGTAATGTATAGACTCAGTTACCACATGTGCGTCTCTCGGATTTCGCTAATAATATGACCAGCTTGTGTTAGTGCCTGCAACACAATCAAACATATACACCTCAATATTTATAGACGATTTAAAATATTTTTTTTAATAGAAAAAAATCTATTATTTCAGTAGATGTACCTTTAACATATTTGCTGCTTCCTTGCGCCTAACAGCAACGTGTTCACTCTCATTTAAAAGTACTTCAGCATGATCCGATTTATACAAATGCGTTACGAGTTCACTTTGTACGTTGTCTTTTACATAGTTGACTAGGAAATGCATGACAGCTTTTGGTACGCTATCTTGTATAGATTTTCGTACAATATAAAAGTATGATTTTATTAGTCTTTCTACAAAGGAGAAAAATGTTTATATAAATAGATAAAATAAAATGTCGATGATTTGATGAAAAAGGATACGAAAAGTGTTCTTCATACCAATTACATCACAGTCTCGTTGTTCCCGTTCGCTAAGTTTGCGAGATGTTTGCATAGGTACCTCTGGCAGTAGATTTATTGGTTTCTGTTGCGAAGATGTTCTTATTACTTCGATCACTGGATTTGGATTAGGAGAAGCTCTGCTCTGCTCATGATTTCTTACTGGAGAACCATCAATTGAACTATTCGATTCGGATCGTCCCTGAGGCAAGAGATTACTTAGTAGCCAATGATTTTGATGTCCTTGTTGATCTTTATTCTGCTCGGAAAAATATGCTACTTCGTCTTGACTATTAACTGACTTTGCATTCTGTTAGAGATATTTTATTTGTTTAGTTACACAATACAATGGACGAACTAATATACACGGGTACAGACATTAAATTGTTATAACTTATTTTCGATCAAACATCAAATTATTAACTTCACTAATTATAAAAATACAGTAAAGAAACAAATAATTTCTAAATAATTACTTACTGTATCATTTGGAATTATAGTACTTGATGTATTTGTGGTAGAGGGAAGCCTTCTATTCTGTTTCACGTGATCCACATCATTATTTTTCAATAAAGATGATACAAGAGCTGCATCCTTATGAAAGTCTGGATGCTTAGTGTTAATATATGCCAGTTCTATAGCAACCAAATTTTCAACCATGTGATTAGTAGGCGGAAGGCGTCGACGTAGTAAGTGTGTTACTACATCGACAATACGTTCGTGTAATTTTGGAAAACGTAACATTTCCTGCTGTACTTCTGTACCACAGTGTTGTATGATCCTTTGCATTTCTTCATGTACGAGCTCTACGCATCTTAAAGAAGGTTCTTCGAGTCTTCGAATTTGTCGCTTGACCAATAATTCGAATGAAACCTCTGGTATGAACAGAGCAGGTCTTGGACCAGTTGCATTTCGAATAGCTGTTAAGATGTCCATTTTAGTGAGACCCGCCAGCGGGTGTATAGAATCTAATGTTTTACCAAACGTTTCGTGAAATATATAACAAATTCGTGCACCACCGCACAATTCTGTTGTTTCAATATTCCTGGCTGTTCCTTCAATTGTAGAACAGTAACTACTTGCGAATTTAGTAATAATTTGAAGCAAAGTTTGACTCTTGTCACCAACATCTTCACCATATGAATTAAGTAGGGTTTGAAATTGTGACACCATCACATTTATTCTTGTCTGTTTTCAAAAAACATAAGTTCTACCAAATTATGCTTACTTTAGTTATTTCTAACTATACGTTACGAACTCTTACTACTGATCATTTATATTATTACCTTTAAATCTGGAAGGCAATCCCGAATATGGTGCATGAGTAAACGATTTAATGTTTTAGCTAAATAAGGTGTCCCATTTCTATTTGCCAAAGTTGGATATTTACGTTGCAAAAATGTAGCTTCATCTTTTAATGCATCCTGGATAGTTTTGTTATTCATTATATCTTGTTGAGAACGATTAACTACTCCAATAATTCCCAATTTTACTGGAATTACTCTACCACATAATATATCAATGGCATCAGTTCCTAAAATGGTACATAGTAATTTTATGATTCATTGTAACAAACTAAGAGTATTAAATAAAAATTACCAGCATCCATAAGATCTAATTTTGTCACAACTGCTAAAGTACGCCTGCCATCTGGATCTACATCCTTACTGAGTTTTAAACTTTCACTTGTAGCCATGTCTGTATTAGCAGTGACAACAGCTAATATAATAGAGTTTGGATTACATATATACTTTAATACAAGTTGACGTATTTGAGACTCAATATCTTCTGGCTGGTCACCAACTGGCACTTTTGTAATACCAGGAAGATCTATAAGGGTTAAATTAACAACTGATGTTGAATATATCTTTAGGTTGATTGGTTCTGGGCAAATTCCTTTATTGGTTCCAGCCATACGATCTGTTTCAGATTCTATTTCTCTACGAATTTCATCAAAATCTGTATATATTCTGTTTCTTTTATGCAAGAATGTGCCCCATTCATCCAGATCCAAAGTGCCATTTTCTGCAGTTCGAAGTTCACGCTCATCTTTAGGTGTATAAACAAGCTGTAATACTAAAGGCCTTCTGGTCACAATACCAGTACCTCGTGGTAAAAAAGATCGGCCAACTAAACTTTCAATTACAGATGACTTGCCTGAACTCTAAAAGAAAAATTAACTATCAGTGATTATTATAAATTATTCTACTGCAAAAACAACTTATTTTATACTAATAACAACTTTAAATATATGCTGATGAATGTAAGAAATAAAATAATATATATTATTGGATTATCCAGGTGTATCTATCAAAAGAAAAAAATTTAAACTTAGATGGTAATCACAAAGGTACTAACTTCTTTTCATCATTAATTCAAAAATATCAACTGACCTGTGTACCAAGTACCACAATTTGCGGTAATTGTATAGCGTCAGCACCAACAGTATTAAATACATCTTGTAATTTATTTATTACGGGTATCAAAGCTTCCATTTTCAGAGAATAAACGCAAGGTAAATCGATCGAGACAGTTACGCGGTACGAGCCGGTGCAAATTGTTCTTTTATTTTAGGTACAGCTATAATTACATGCGTTGTAAGTAGTACTAAAAATTTTTTTAAGAAATTATATTTCTTCGCAAATGTTATTACTTTCGATAGTAATATTTAGTCTACTAAAATTTTCAGTGAAATCACTACAAGAATTCTGCACCTGCTGCTCTCATCTACCCTTTCCCTGCTCCATACTCCACACGCTTGCGCATATGTACTAAAACTTAATATCTACTAACGTATATAGCCACTTCAAATCGCATACTTAAAGTATCGTTTCTATTAAATAATTACAAATACTTCATTATAACAAGTTTTCTCTCATAATTATACAGAAATGAAAGTATTCCAGCTGAAAAACATGAAGTTCATAGCTATAGTCAGACCCTAGTGCAATAGACGTATAAAGTTATACCGTAGTTCACCAGAATCTATAACTGCGAAAAGACCAGTTTTCGTTCTTTTGTGCGCATCTTCGCCCTGATTGGCGATACTCTCAAACGAAGTGAAAAGCGATTGGCGGAGAGCTCGCTGCGTTCCCCCACCATCTTCCAACCTGCGCGTCGCAGTTATGGACTCTAGTGAGCTGCGGTATACATAAAAATGTGTAATCATATTGAACTGAAGCAACATGAAAACTAGCCAAAGTAATGGATAAAATAGGTAGCAAGAAAATGGCGTCATTGCTAGCGAATCGTTACAGTTTGTAATACTTGTGCGCTGTAGTCTATGCCTGCTGTAGCTCGTCATCATTCGTCTGACAGCTCATCCAAGAGCGGGGATCGGCCGATCACCCGCTCAAAATCTTAAAGATTTTGTGATACAGATTAACGTGGGATGGGTGACTCCTTGGACGGCTCCGGGGATGCGTCACCGGAGTCTCAGATTGTTACAGTCGTAGACTATTGGGCGTTTGCTAATTATTTAAAAAAGATCGTAACGGTCCTTCTACCCGATGAAGATGTGGTACCATCCCCCTTCAATTCCGCACTCGAAAATACAACCAATCAAGAATGTATAAAAAAATTCTTAAGTGACCCACAAGTGTGGGCACTTACTATACAAAGGAGTTCTACTAAAGGTATGTAAATTGATTAGATATAAATCAATTCGTTTAGTAGTGCGAATTTTGCACTCTGCCCTCTTCTGATATCCTCCATTGCAGCCTTTCGATACAACGGTACATTAAGCCGCAACAGGAAACGTATCCTGAAAATTAATGCGACGTTTGTCGTTGCATTTCAATTTGTTCCAAATATGACTCACTTCTGAATATAATCGATACATGTAACAGCATTATTACGTTGTTTCTCGTTTATACTTTTTTACTTATACATCTGTTTATTTCAAGTACATGCCGGTATGCGTTATATCGTATTGGTTACGCTTTTATTTCCATAATTATTAAATTGAATTATTTATACTGTAAATACAAAAAGAATAAAACTTAAATAATTTGTTACATCTTGATTTATTATTTTCCAGAAGAAGATAACAATGAAGCAGACGAAGAAAAAGAAAATGTTTCTTTCTACATCTCAAATGAAATTCATTTCAGTAGTCCAAAAATGGCCTCCTTAGTTCTAACAAAGCGTGCAGCAGTAGTTGAAGCTGATAAGACTATCCATTCGCAATTGCGTATAGTCACTTTTTCTGATGGACCACCGTATGAAACGTTGCATGCGATAAGTAAAACCATGGCTCCATACTTTAAAAGCTATGTGAAAGAAACAGGTCGCGCGGATAGAGACGGTGATAAAATGGCACCATCTGTTGAAAAGAAAATAGCAGAATTGGAAATGGGTTTATTGCATTTGCAACAAAACATAGACATCCCTGAAATTTCATTACAAATTCATCCTATTGTCGCGCAAATAATTAAACAATGCGCAGACGAAAATCGCAAGCCCAAAGTTGCTGATTTTGGCGATAAAGTCGAAGATTCAACGTTCTTGAATCAGCTACAGAATGGTGTGAACAGATGGATAAAGGAAATTCAGAAGGTTACAAAATTAAATCGCGATCCAGAATCAGGTACTGCTCTGCAAGAAATTTCTTTCTGGTTAAATTTAGAAAGAGCCCTACATCGAATACAAGAAAAACGGGAGAGTATCGAAATTTCTTTGACTCTGGATATACTTAAACATGGTAAAAGATTCCATGCAACGGTTAGTTTTGACACAGATACTGGCCTACAGCAAGCCTTAGCTACTGTCAATGATTACAACCCATTAATGAAAGATTTTCCGATCAATGATCTATTGTCAGCTACCGAACTCGAGAGAATACGTACTAGCGTTCAACAAATCTTTATGCACCTGAGAAAGATAAGAAGCACAAAATATCCTATTCAAAGGGTATTGAGATTGATAGAAGCTATTTCCAGAGATTTAGGACAGCAGCTTCTTAAAGTGCTGGGCAC